TTCAGATTTGTCATTTAAATTGGCATTCTTAGGTCTTTTGAGAAACGATGGTTTTATACTTGAAAATTTATATTGAGAAACAGTTCACCGCAAACAACACAATGAGGTTGAAGGGTCCATTTCATCTCCATTCCAATAAACCCAAATGATAAATAACTTTCATTATATTTTCTATAAACAATTTTTCTTTTTAGTATTCTTTAATGGTAGTAATCCATGACCTGTGAATCGTCACTTTTCCACTGTCAATACTAGCCATTTTTCTATTTTGAAATCTGGGTTTGTTTTATTATTCTTTAACAAATATTTAAATGCACAATACATTACGAGTTCTTCAACAACAAACAACAATATTCTCAAATCACATAGAAAAGTAAGGAAAACAAAGCAACAAGAAGACAAAATACCTGCTGTTAGAGACAGCAAATTGATGTTAAAAAAATTATTCTAATTGAAAATACAGCACTATGAGTTCAAAAATGGTGGCGACATAAAGTGTAGACATGCTAATAAATCGAAAAACACTAAAAGAATTAATGAGATACTATTATCATTTTATAGGAACTTATTTTTATTTCCTATTAAGCACAACACCCAATTCTATTAATACTTTTAAAATCATCATTTATGACAAATTTTGTTATGTCTATGGTTAAAAGAATATTTGTGAAAATAAAAATGGATTATTTTGCTACAGTCAGTCAGTGTCCTGGAAGAAAGCTCAAATTGCATAATTTAAGTGTGTTAGATTTAAAAAAAAAAAAAAAAAACTAAACAGGATGTTGGTGAATTTAATTTTTGAATTTAATAGTTAAACATAGTTTAGTTTGTTTCTTTGCATACCACTAGTGGTACATGTTTCTTTGAGTATCAACTAGTGGTACACATATCGCTGGTTGAGAATTGCTGATTTAATCCGTACTAGATTATGAAAGGCATTAATATTCTAGCAGAAAAAAACACATATCAAAATTGAAAGAAAAAAATCTATATAAAATATGTATACAATTTTACATACTTTATTAAAGATTATGTTGGGTTATTCTAATTTTACTGAATTGTTTTTGTTCCAATTATGATATGTGCAATACCTGTTAAAGTGTTACTGATATAAAATATATAAAATTATACATGGTGCATGCATAAAATAACCATATATCTTACAAATAAGAAAAAGATTACTAACATTCAATTGAATTTACCTCCTTCAGCACTGGAACCAAGAGATTGCAAAATTTGCATAATATTCAATTTAATATCCAAGATGATTTCAAATCTCTCTCCTTACAAGTCAATTTATGATTTGATAATCAGAAAAAAAAATATCAGCTGATAAGTCAGGAGAATATGGTGGATGACTTGTCACTGCAATTAATGCTTAGCAAGATACTAGTCTACATACAATGCTGTATGGGGCCTAGCATTATCATGTAAAAGAAACCATAGCCCAGATTAAAAAAGTTCCTTCCTAACGCCTCTTAATCTATTTGCTAATTGAAAACACCTCCTCATAAAATTCCTGATTAATTCACTGATTTTCAAGAGACAAATTCATGATTGATTTTTCAGAGACAATTTACAAATTCAAGTCCTTTGTGATCATAATATGCAATCAACATCACCTTAATCGTTCCCTCTTTTTTTTTTTTTTGTGTGTGTGTGTGTGTGTGTGTGTGTGTGTGTATGGGAGAAAAGTCCTTTCAACTGAGCAGTTTGTTGTTTTGCTTCTGGAACATACTCTAGATGCCAGGTGTAATCTCTCACTACGATACACTTTAAAAAGCTGTTGCCCTGCTTTGCAGTAGCCAGCAAGTCTTCATTAGCAAGCTTTTCTGTCTTCTTGCTCAGGGTTGCCACTCAAACAGGAGAATGTAATTCCCAGACTTTTCCAGGTGTGTTTCAAGAAAATTCCAGCCTATCCGCGTAATGTACGTTGGCTGTGCTAGGAGGTACTAAATTAATTATGGTATTACTTGTATTGTGTAGCAAATTCACTTAATTATTCAATAAATCCCAGAGGACATTTATTCTTAATTATTCTTGGTATACTTTGTTTGATAATTTTGTTTACTTTTCCACTTAAGAAACTTAATAAAATTTAAGATATATACATTGGATAACAAATGTATGTTTTATTTAATTATTACTCATGATCATCACCAGTTCAACACTAGGCTAATCCGGTCCTTATAAACACAATGCAATGCTAAATGCAATGCTAACCACAATGCACAATGCAATGCTAGTTAGGTTAGATTTTAGGTAAATTTAATTTGTGTGAGGTGTCTTCTTAAAAGGCACCTTAACACTTGAAAACACAAATATAATTATAAGAGTTGTTTTCTCCACTGAAGATTGAGATTAGAATCTGCCCAATCTGGAATAAAATAAGGCTTTTTTTGCAGACATTCTGCAGCTAAATGAAAGAAAGAAATCTATTTTAATAAATTGAGGTATTTTATATTTATTTTGCAGCATACATAAGGAAAAAATATGTGCATTAAATTTCGTGATGGTATGTCATCATACTGCTAGAATTAATTTCAGGATTACGCCAGAGAATTCCTGAAATTTGGAAATATTATTTACTAATAATAAATAAATTTAGAGGGAAGAAGCAAAATTAAATTATACGAATAACATAAAAATAAAGATAATTAAAAAGTGAATTAGAATAATCAACGATATTTTAGCAAATATTACATGGTTAGCCTAGATGACTGATTACTACTTTTTATTTTACTGCAAAACGGCAAGGTATTTATTTAAAAAGAAAAAAAAAAGGTTTAAAAAAATTTTGCGGTAAAATTCTAGTATACGGTAAGGCTTTGTGGCACGAATTTGGAAATTGTCGCCAAGACCAAAATGACCCGTTTACAGCGCATCATCATGTCGCCCAATCCCATTGTACCATACATGGAGATTATTCTAACCAAAGAACGTCTACGTAAAGAAGAAAAGGTTCCATACAAGTAAAATGCTATTACGCTGCTAGAATGCGGAGGGAAAATTTGCCAAGGGATTTGGCGACGGGACCTGGCAGCCAGAATTTCCCTCTCCGCGATGTATACAGGAAATTGAGAAACACGTGTTAAGAAGAAACGTTCTTTGACAAAAAAGATAACTACGAAAATCCGTTTTTAAATTATTGCGAAAAATTCAAGAAGAAACGTTTTATCAAAGGACGTTTCTTGGATTTTTCGCAATAATTTTAAAAACGGATTTTCGTAGTTTTCCCCCCCTGAAAATAACTAATCCATGAATTAATTTACTTATGTCAAAAAATATTTCCTTTTCCTTTAGAGTTTAACCACTTGCGCTAAGACTTCACGGTTTGCGGTGCCGTGCGCTGCAATATAACAAGCGGTAAAGTGTCTCATTTACGCCGCCCCGCATCTGCGAGTGCAATTCAGAGCTGTAACTCAAGAAATAAACAATCTCGTTGTTAGGCGACGTGTGCACCACGTTATTTTCTTTTTTGCGATAAATGCTTAGCGACGTGATCTCGACGTGCGTGGCACGTCTTTTTAGCGCAAGTGGTTAAAGAAATTTTAAACGATATTCATTTTATGAACTCTTGATAACGTGACCTTCGAACTTCGACACCGGTTTCGAGCTTTGGCGACAGATATATCACACATGCACAGCTGTTTCCCTCTATGATGGAACAGAGCCACGTCTGTTGCAGAGAGGTTTTCCTTCTTTAAAATACATATTCTTTGATTCTAACCTCCATGGTACCATATACTAGGATTAAACCCATTTTGTTTTATACGAGAACAGGTACTTCCTTTAGTTCATGCACTGCACATGCGATTCTCGAGAATACTGGAAACCAAAAGTTGCGGGAAACTTTCTTTGCCTTTCTAAAAGACAATCAAATTGGAGCTGCGAAAATTGGCTCTATGCCAGCTGCCCGAATGACACTCACGTGATACACAATTCGCCAAAAAGTTATCTCTTCCGACGTCGGCGCAAAAATCGCTTTTTTTGGCGGGATCGTTGTATGAAATTCCCCGACTTTTCCAGATTTTGACAAAAATACTTAAATTCCCTGAATTTTTTGGTCAAGTTTCGAATTCCCTGACTTTTTCCAGTTCTCCCGGTTTTCCAGGTAGCGTGGCAACCCTGCTTGCTGTTCTGTCAAAATCTGAGACACACATCAAGCACAAACTTTCCTCATTTTCAGATTTTTAATTAAAATTGACTTTGTAATTCAATTAAAATTGACTAGCTTTCTTTGCTTATCCCAAGTATGTCTGAAAGCTGCTGAGTTGTTACATGTCTATCAGCATTGACTAAAGAAAGAATTTTCTCCACACATTTTTCTCATTCTTTGAAAGTGAAGGTTGAAATATCTTTAATTCATCTTCAACACTTTTATGCTTGTACCACTCATACAGGTGAGTTCCTGGTAATGATGAATTAATATATACTGTTTGAATCATTTGTAACATTTTAGTAGCAGATTTACCTAATTTGGAAAAAAAAAAAAATTACTATTATAATGCAGTTCCATCTTGAAGCAAATTTAGTTGAACAATGTCTTCTTAGTAAATGAAAATGGCTCCAGCACTTAGATAAGCAAATGGGAATTAAACTAGCTTTAACAAGAATTAAAGTATCACTCTTTCAAAACATACACTTATTCTTTAACTTTTTCATTTTATCATTAGGTATTTTAATTTGTCCAGTTACTTTATGGATGCACCCTGCATACATTTGTTGTCAATTTTTTGCATAATATTAATTTTACTTAATTGTTTATGTTTCAGTTTTTGATGTGCATTTTTCTGTTAGAATGCTGACTCTTTTCATGACCTAACTTAGATTTAATTAATGTTATTTCTTGGCTCTGGATGAAACGATACCCATGCTATACTTATATGATTAGGAAATCTCAATAGCTAAATGAAATTCAGAATAAAAAACGAATCTTAAGTAAAATTACTTTACAAACAATGAAATATTACTAAATAAGGGAAATAAGGGGGTGAAACCTTAAATGGAAACATGGCTGATAAACTCATATTCTTCTGCTGCTTAAAGGCAGTACGACAAACATCAAAGAAATCCACTTTACATATGATGATGATATCATAAACACAGCAAACACCCTGTAATATGAAAAATTTACATATCACTTTCAAATTAAAAAAGCATACAAAATGTCAAAACATAGCCATAATATTATGCAATGGATATTATGTAACACAATCAACAGGCAAAACTCATGACAAGGTAAATAGTCTCTTTTCAATTTGAAGAAATGGCCTGACTGATCTCAAAGAGAGAAAGGTATAAATGAGAAGCTCTTATAATTCAGAAATATATTACATCTACATGTATAAAAAGAAGTATGTTTAAAAAAGGTTTAATCATAATGTTTATTCATTACTGTATATGTTTCAAACAGAAAAAAATATGCATATGATATTCACATAAATCAAATATATATACTTTATTATAAGTGTCAATTATATAATCTGAAAAGTTATCAACATTAGTTCACTTTGCTTACAATATGTACAAAACCCAACTTTTGCAGTTCTCCATATGTCACTGCATCAATATTTTGAAGCTAATGCTTCAATGTTCCTAAAGCATCTAGTATATTCATAAAACACGAAACAGTGAACTTTATTATTGTGAATATGGTAATCTCCTTCTCTTCAGCCACCATTCGTTACATAAATCTTTAGCATTCCTTAATTCAGCTGCAATCACCAACAAAATCTTGAAAAATAATTGCAGCCAAATCATGCAACTGCATTTGTTTTTATCAGTCATAAAATCTGAATTGGCTTGTACCACTCATGAAATTATTTTTTTGCCATCAAAAGAAAGTTGATTTTATGAAACAGTTGGCAATTATCTTGGATGTTATTTTATCGCAGGAAAAAAAAAGCATTAGTATAGAATGCAGAATTAAAATTTGACATTCTCTTTTCTGTTTAAGAGCAGAAAACTCTTTTCTACAATTAACATTTACTGACAATATAATCCCAGATGAAGTCACCAGAGTTTGCTGGGAAGAAAATGACAAGCATATGTATTACACACACTGGCCAATGAATCAGAAACCTTTGAGATTTTCATTTGAATGTGTGCTAGGGATGAAGCATGCAAATATTCTTTATACCATGGGATACATATGGTTAGACTGCTAGTATAAGGAAGATGCTTTTCACGATGAATGAAGTAAAATGAGAAAAACAACAAATCCTTCACCATTTGAAAAAGGGGTTATTGTTGATGCCTGTTTAGCAGAGGCCTCCATTTCAAAAAGGTTTATCAATCTCACTGGTCCCCATGAATCCATCTTGCATTACTCGCACTACAAATGAATCTGGTGGGAGTATCATGATATGGGGCATGTTCTGCTGGCTTGGAAGTGGTGCCCTGGTGTTCCTCGATGCTAAACAAACAGCCATGAGATATTTAGATATACTGGCAGATGAAATGCACCCTGCAATGTTACATTTTTACTCTGGTGGCGACGGAGACCTAATGGATGATAATGCAAATATACATTGTGTTAGAAGTGTTCAAAATTGGTTTGCTGAACATTCGTACTGAACATCTTCCTTGGCCACCATATTGCCCAGATCTTAACCCCATAGAAAATGTGTGAGATATGGTGGAAAGATGCATTCGACAACACTCTCCTCCTCCAATCTAAATTTACAAGATCTATAAAACTGCAGAGAAAACGCATGGTATTCTCTGGACGTAAATGCACTCCAGAAACATTCAAACACGATGCCCAAACGAATCAGAGCAGTTATCCATGCAAAAGGTGGCCCAATAAAGTATTGAATCTAGGGTTTCTAAATCATTGGCCAGTGTGTGTATGTCAGGCATGTTTATACTACTGCAAATAAAGTAGGGGAAGCATGGCATGCTACTGCATTTCATAAATAATTCAACATAAGCCACTGCAAAGAAATATCTCATAAGAACAAGTGAAATTATGAGGAAATAATGCTTGCTAGCATCAGCTCTCACCAGAAGTAATGAACATTTTTAAAGGATTGCCAGCACCAGAAAGTGAAGCCAAAACAACAATAGAAACCGTACAAGCAATTGACAGCAAAGAATTTTTAGATATATAAGGAGAAATCAATCAATTTATTGATAATAACTATGGAGAAATGAGTGAAGAATTAGATGGTCTTATAATACCATCTAACAGTGATAGCGAAGTAGATAAAGCACCTTTACCTTACAAGAGGTTAAACATACTTTTTTAAAAATGGTGCAAAACTAGCTGATTTTGCAATGAAGACTGACCCAAATCATAAAGGAAGACACCTTAATAGGAAGTAATGGAAAACACTACACTCCTTATGACGAAACATTTTAAAGTTGTGCTAGTCATTATTCTAAGCAAAAATTACTAGCTTCTTAAAAAAATAATTTTATTATGTACCTGTTTATGCAGTAGTAAAAAACCTAATCAATTAACATTCATTTTATTTTCTCCCTCTAATTACAAAAAATTACATTGAAATTATGTATACTTCCTTAATTCGAACATTTGTTTTTCTCACACATTTTTTCCCATACAGAGTTAACTTTGAGATTCTGCCATATGGTGCAATGTATTAATTGTGAAATCCCTGCATTTGGCAAGGGTTTACTGCATATGCACTTTCCACAAATTTTAATTTGCTTTCATGTTAATCCATAATCAACTACGAACTGATGGCTCCCTTATTCTATTTAAATACCAACATTTCAATATGAAATTGTGCAAGTTCTCTTTAACTGATTAGTGTGTAACTTCGTTAAGAGGTGCTCAGCAGCTACCAGAAAAGATGCGAACATTTATGTTCAAACTGAAACCATTATTTTATGAAACCATTACAAGACATTAATAAAACACATACCAAAAAATACACATTTGATTGAAATAGATATGATATGGAAATTTATTCTTGATTTTCAATAAATAAATCAACATATGCCTAATTATTTGTAAATTTGCATGATATACTACACAATCTCCATAAAAATACTAATTGTTATAAAATATGCTTAAAAAGTATACCATTTTCTTCAAAATGCAATACAGAGATTTACATAATTTCCCAAACTAATAAGTTACAATACAAATTATCTTTAGTAAACCACCATTCAAATAGTTAGTTTAAATATTTCATTATTAATGCATACATTAAGTAGAACTTACTATAACAGTTATCCCTTGCTCTTTGCAAAGCATTGCTAAACCAGCCAGAAAAATACTTCCAAACAAACAAAGGAGTGAAACTTCCATATCTACAGAAATTAAATTTCCTGTGTTACATATAATAAAAGAATATTAAAATAAGCATGTACTAACAAATAAATAAGCTTTCATAATAAACAAATAACTATATTATCATTAGATCAAAATGTGTAGAAGGAATTAGTCTGTGTGGCATGGGCGCACTCTAAATATGTGGCGAGCAGAAAGTCCTCTCCAGAGGGTGGTAAGGGAAGAGGGGTGAGAGACCCTTGGACTTATATACTTTATCATATTTTGTTCCATAATGGTACATATTACATAAGAGCTGCACATTTGTTTTTATTTGTTCATTTTGGTACATTTTTAGATTAATTTTATGTTTGTTTGTGATATATTTCACATAACCATAAATAATTTTGGTCATGTAAAATGCAGTGTGAAAAAATAAAATTTACTGTAATTTGTCAATTATTGCATTTGGTACTTTTCTGTTTATATTACAAACTTAGATAATTTTCTTTCAGTTTGAAGGAATCTCAGAATTCAATGGCCAATAAATATTTGGCTATACCAGTCCTACTAAAAAAGATCACAACATATTAAAAGACAGCATTAGGATAATAAAAGTTCCAACAGCAATTAGCAAACAAATTGAGTTGTTTTAAGTTGCTCATTAAAATATTTTTAAAACATACTGGGAATGGTGTAAAATAAAGGCTTCGGGATTTACTACAAATTAAAGATACACACAAAATTAACAAATAAATATCGAAGATGCAATATTATTGAAGAATAATTTGAAACTTAGGAGGTTAGAAGTATTTTAAAAATCAAAATTATGAAAATAAAGGCTTTAAAACTAGTTTCATTCTCTTACTCTAATTTATAGCATATTGTTATTAAATGTCCAGGTACGGTAAGATAGCTTCCCCGCAAAGCAGGTTTAGGGTTGCCAGAAAATAGCAAGGCAAGGCAGGGTTCCAACATTTGACGAGAAATCGCCCATTTGGCGACAAAAGTGGTGATATGCCATAGATGGATGGAGAACCTTCTGGAACGAATTCTTACCGGTTTAGCCCACAATGTTCTCAAACACAAGTCAAAAAACTATATAAACCTTGCTGATATGCAGAATCCATTGAGTTGATAGTCAGTGAATGCCGAGTGGGTCATCGAGTGCATCGAGAGAGTCTCTTAGTGGATCACAAGTTAATGCATCATTGACTTTGATCTTAGTGTGTTGAGCTCCGGGAACGACTGACCCGAAGAGTTGGGAGCTGTACTCTAGCGTATCATCGATTGCATTGCGAGTTGTAGCATGGAGAGTCTCGAGAGTACATGGAGTTCCGAGAACGACCGAGCAGAGTGGAAACTGTACTCTGGTGCTTTGCAGTGCAGCTGCCTCCACCATTACAGCCTAATAGCCTATAGGTTGTGTCGCTGATTGATTCAGCGTGTTTAGTAGTTCTTTGACAGCTGTAAACGTGATATTGTCTTGAATAATACTGGCTAATAAATTGTGTTTTGATACTTTATCAAGTGTCATCGTTATATACTTCAAATCCGCACAAACCTCGTACGAGCGTAAATAAGAAACACATGCAACAACTGGTGTCAGAAGTGGGCTTTGAGGGTGAATGCCAGAGACAAGAGTGATGGAAGAACATTTACAACAGCTCATGACTGCCTTTGCTGCATTCCAAGTAAAGATGGAAGCCAGACAGGAAGAGATGAAACCTGGACTGGAAGAGATAAATGTTGGATATGAAGAGATGAGGGCTGAGATCATAGCCGGGCAGAAAGAGATGAAAGGCGGACTGGAAGAGAAGAAAGCCCGACGAGAAAAAAATAAATGTCGGCCAAGAAAAGGTGCGAAAGCGACTCCAACAGGTGAAAGTGAAGCTTACAGAAGACATTGGAGCCTTAAAGACGATGTGGAAAAGAGAGAATTGGCTTCTGAATAATTAAAGGATGAAGAAATGAAGGAAGTAGCTAACGAACTGCCTGAGAAAGATCAAGAAATGACGGAAGAAGCATCTAACGAGATTAAAGGAAAAAAAAAAGAAAACATGAAGAAATAAAAGACGGGAAAGCAGCTTTTGATTCTCAAGTGCCTGAAGAGGAAGTGGAAGGAAGTGAAAATGCGACTGTTAGGTTTGTCGAAACAGACAGCGAATTTACGAAGTCACAGTTAGCAAGAACTGAACCATCTGAAAATGCATGTGATGCAGAGGAAGAAGCTGATGTGCAGCTTATGCAGAGTGCTCCACTATTTCAGAAAAATTCATTCACTTCCCAAACTGGGTGTGTGTCTCACAGCCCAGATTGTGCCGACACGGACTTGATTCTAAGCCAGGATACTTGCGTTTGTAAAGAAACAGGTTCCATGACTCTGATGTAGAATTTGGAGCTGGTTCGCAGGAAAGGGAAGAAAATAGGCATGTACCAATTGCTAAAAATACCGAGGTGAACTCTATGCATGCTGCAAATGAACTACAGAGTGGCGAATGAACAGTTTCAGATCTTCTTCTGAATGCAAAGTCTGAAAGGACTGAATCTTCAGAATGTGATATGCAAAAGAGAGATACATCTGAGAACTGCAGTTTAAAAGTATTTGATCCGGGTAATAACTTAATGACTGAGACTGAAATTCATTCTAAACTTTGATTTGTACGATTTAAAATTGTTATATGTTTACTTTGAGTATATAACTTGTACATAGTGAAATATGTTTCTTTAGTTATGTTATTTGTTTGTTTTATTACATCTCGTTTGTATCGAATTATGCTTCTGACCAAAGACTGTACTGCCCGGGACGTGCAGTCCTTGGGAGAGGGCAGTGTTACAAAATGTCCAGACTGTACTGCCCGGGATGTGCAGTCCTTGGGATAGGGCAGTGTTACGAAATGTCCAGGTACAGTAGGATAGCTTCCTTGCAAGGCAGGTTTAAGGGTTGACATATTTGGCGAGAAATCGCCCATTTAATGACAAAATTGGCAATATGCCATAGACGGATGGAGAACCTTCTGGAACGAATTCTTACCGGTTTAGCCCAGAATTTTCTCAAACACAAGACAAAAAGCTATATAAACCCTGCTGATACGTGGACAGTCAGTGAGTGCAGAGTCCATCAAGTTAATACTCAGTCAGTGAGTGCCCAGTGCTGAGTGCGTCGTCGAGTGCATCGAGAGTCTCTTAGTGAATTGCGAGTTAATGTGTCATCAAGTTTGATCTTATAGTGTGTTCTCAGGAAATGACTAAACGGAAGAATTGGGAGCTCTAACGTATCGTCGAGTGCATCGCGAGTTGTAGAGTAGAGAGTCTCGAGAGCATATGGAGCTCCGAGAACGACCGAGCAGGGTCGGGAACTGTACTCTGGTGCTTTGCAGTGAAGCTGCCTCCACCGTCATAGCCTAATAGATTGGAGGCTGTGTTGCTGATTGTGTCAGCGTGCTTATGGTAGCAGTTCTTCGATGACTAAAAACGTGATTTTGGAGCTGTCTTGAATAATACTGGCCAATAAATTGTGTTTTGGTGCTGTTTTCATTATTCACTCCAAATTTATGAACCCTATATGAATGTGAAGAGAAGAAAAAAAGCAACAATATAGTATTTAATAATGCATTTTTTAAATCCTCTTTTTTCAAAATACATCTTCATATGATTATTTGCATAAATCATGATATACACCAGAGGTGGCGAAACTTCACATTAGCGAGAACCACATGCTGGAATTCAAGAAATTTCAACAACCACAACTAGATTTTCCAAAACCCACAAGGCAATATTTACATCATCTTAAAAGTAGTGAAAAAGGTTGCAAATGGAAAAGAAATGTCTCATTCTAAACAAATATTCAATGACAGTTTGCCTCCTGCATATAATAAACTTCTCTTGAACATTGAGTATTATTAGTTATTTCATACATATATTTTATTCACATGAGAGTTGCACACAGCTCACAAGCTGATGTACACTTAACTGCCATTTCTTAGCAAAGTTATGTACATTAATCTAGCATTTCTTAGAGAAATTTAGAGCTTCTTTTTCTTTTTTAAATCTAAAATTTTTCATAACTATACAATCATAATTAAACCTTAAATGTATTGGCAGCAGAAAACTATCCTTTAAATTTAAATGTAACAGTCTTTATGGTTTGTTAAAAATAAACAATGAGATTTAATAAAACACATAAAAATAAACTACACTGTTGGCTTCCATATTTGGCAACATTTGCTCTACTTGAAAAAAAATTGGGTGTTGGTGTCCAAAAGGTGTGTCATACCTATTTGCTTTATTATTTTACACAACTTATAATTTAGAGTAAATAGACTTGGACATTTGAAAATACTTTTTTTTTTAATATTACATGCAGAAAGACTGTATGCAAACCCTTTGGGAGAAATAAAGAGGACGACAACAAAAATCAGATACAGTACAAGATAACCTAAAACAGAATCAAATACAAAAACGTTTAACAATTAATTGATCAAGCTGTTCTGCATCTTCCCATGCTGAGAATAAATGGTAATGCTAGACAAGGCAGTACAGGAGGCAATGTAGAGGGTGTACGGGAAAAAAAAAAAAAAAAAAAAAACCAGCATATGGCTCTGGTTTTTTCGCTGTTTTCACAATTAAAAAAAAAAAAAAAAATTAATAGTAAAAACAGCTTAATAACCACAGCTGTATGCTGAAGAGGTAAGTGGACCTTAGTGGTAAGTTTTTATTGCCAAGTTCACAATATTTCACAATATTTTGGAAGTTTTCAGAAAATATGTTTTTGAGATTTTAGCACTAATCTTTCCAGAAATTTCTAGTCTTGATGTCCCCTTAGGCAATGATAAAAACAGAAGGGAGCATGGTAAGAGTTAGTCTATTTAAACTGGTAAGATGTACCTTATGATATTTTAACCACTGCTACATAAGTCATTTTGTAATTTTCAATATCTGTCTTGTGTTAAGGAAAATGTCACAGTAAGCTCATTTCTTGAGCTATTTTTTTTAAACGTATTCCTCATCCACAAAAATTGTTTTATTGCATGAGACAGCA